TTCTCGCAATCTAGACTGTAGAACTCGAATTAGGGGAAAAATTAATTTGATTATAGCTAAAGAGTTGGGCTCTTCCCTTGAGGAATTAACCCAAAATAATCAAAGAGCTCTTCAGGTCACCACCTCTCCAATTATACAATTGTATTCGGCTGAGTTCTAATAGAATGTGTCACAAATTGAATTTCGGGACGAAATTCTTTCAACCGGGGGAGACTGTGACAACCGTCAAAATTCGAGTTAGTTCTAGATTTGAATAAACTTAGTTACACATATAGGCACTACCCAAAACCGGATTATACAACATGAAAACCACTTTTGGTATTTTTCTCAGGTTATTTATACTGTAAATGATGTTACAAAAAATTTTGGTAATTTATTTTAACTGTTTAATATTATTTCATCAATTAATGATTAATTAAATGAATAAACTAAGGAAAAATAGAAATACCCACTGTAAAATATGTTTTATATTTTTCCCAGCCTAGTTATGTATAATAACAGTTAAATAAAAAAGTTTGGGTAATTTTGGAAACTGTTTTCTATTTATTTCAATTTTTATTGGAATAAATGCTCAAAAATCATAAAATATAATTAAACATCATAAAAATCCATTTTTATATTTTTCCCAGCTTAGTAATGTTTAATAACAGTAATATAAAAAGTTTGGGGAATTTTCTTAACGCATTGCTATTTTTCATGAATTTATGGTTATTCATGAAACTAAAATGGTAAAAAAAAGTTAGACAACTCAAAAATTCATGAAAATTTATCTTGAGTTCTTTGACTTCAATTAAAACTTAAATGCAAAGTTTGGGATATTTTAGAATTAAATTGATTTAGTTTTGAATATTTAACCATTGGAACACCTCTAAAATGTTAAATATTAACATTTCAATAATGGAAATTTTCCACTTAAATTGTTATATAACAATTGATTCTTTGAAACTTAATTTCCACAAAAATATGTTTGTAACTTATCGATATTAAATTTTGACACAATATTGGTATAATTCTATTGTAGTACTATGTATACTTGTGTTAGATTTCGATTAGAGACTCACTAGCGAATACCATTATTGTAGGAATCGATAGTGATACGAGTGGAGCATAGTCAAGGCACCAATTGCATCATCTCAATGCATATTGTGAGTATTCATCATTCCCCTATTTTCGGTTTTTAAATGTTTTGGGGTGGAAAAGCATGTCCTAAACTATTTATGTTCGTTATATTTAATTGACTCACATAAACTTGATTACTATATTTTGCATATTGTGAGTATTCACGCACTCCCCTATTTTCGGTTTTTATGTTTTGGGGTGGAAAAGCATGTCCAGAAAACCTATTGTTTGCATGTTGTATTTAAATTGATTATTATCAAATATGATTGCTATTGTATTGCTATGTTTCTTTTTGTATGTCTATGCAACACGGAACATGCGAACTTATCGTACTAAGGCCTTTCCCTTATCTCTAACCATTAACTCTTTGAGCCAATGGTCATTATGGATAGCGCTATTAGGAATTGACAACTCCTCACTCGCCCGAATCGCTGGAGTGCATGATCCCATATTCATCTATGGAACGATAAGCATAGTCTCGATAGGGCTTCAGTCATAGGTTTGGTTGAGACTCATTGTTTGCTCATACACATACAAACTCGTTTCTCGTTATAGCAATAAACTTGTATTCATTAATAGAAATCAACTTTGTTTGTTAATATGGCAATGAACTTTGTTTATGATTAAAGAAATGAACTTTGTTTCTCATTATAGCAATGAACTCTATTTCTCATTACAACAAGGAACTTTTACTAGTGGAAACTTATATACATGTTTTAGCAATGAAATTGTTTGTTCCTTGTAGCAACGAAATTGACAGCTCATTTTAGCAATGAAACTTGTTTACTCGTTTGAGTAACGAACTTTATCTTCCATGAAAATATGAATGTTGCATCTTATTCAGGCAATATACTTTATTTCTCATGATAAAAACGAACTGTGTTTTCAAACTTATTTACTCCTAGCAATATACTTTTATTATTGGAAACTTTTATCAAAACTTTGATTTCAACTCATGAACCAATATTATTTTGTTAAACTTGTGAGTACTCACCAACTATTTTTATAGTTGACGCTCGTTTTACATGCTTTTTCAGGAATCATCGAGTAAGTCGCACTTACGGACACTTCACTTTTAGGAGCATTCGCATGTGTTGTATATCTATTTTTCATTGTAATTTCTTGTAAAAGTTGTTCAAACCCATTGTAAATTTGTAATGATTTTTAATTCTATGGTTGGTGTTGTCTTTTAACTTTTGCTATGAAACCCTTTATACTGCCACGCCTCGTGTTTCCGCTTTAGCGGGGTGTGACAATAAGATTCCGACATTATCATAGAACTTGAGTCAACTTGATCCTCGCAATACCAGTTTCGTGTGCACATCTCTTTCTCTGAAATCGCCTTTCTAGTGAAGCAGTCATTCCAAAACTCCGAAGTAATCATGCATGAAGTACCTCATGTTTCCTATCCTTTCTGAAGAAACCTCAGTAAACCTTCCCGAAGTACCACTCGTACAGTACGTCAGGTTCAATCCAAAGACCCATACGGTTGATCTATTGCTGAAGAATGTATACATAAGGGTGGTATATAATCAAGGTTCTACATGTTTAGAATTGATGATTCCACTTTAACTCTTTTCCTTGTTGGGATGTGAGGTTAAATAAGAATTATTTATTCGACTACCTTTTCAATCTTAATTATATATGACTCATATACACGAGACTATGATTAACGAACCATGTATGACTTCTAACATGAACTTCAGGACGGAGACTGCCCAAGACTACGAGTGATCGCATCGTTATGCGAACAAACTTAGAACCTAGTACGACTCCTGCAACCAGATCGCCCTACAGTATAAACATCTACAGAGATACAAGAACAGTTCGGACAACTTAGAGAACTACTCAGCAATGGAATAAGAAGACCAAGCACCTCACCTTTGAGGGCACCGGTCTTATTCTTCCAAAAGATATACTTCAGCGGATGCGATCATACCAACGCTAATGCACCGGATCCCATCAGAACTCCGTAGTTAAACGTGCTTAGGCGAGAGAAGTACTATGATGGGAAAAACCTTGGGGAGTCCTTGTGGTGCAGACCTCGACGGGACTTCCATTGGAAATCATTACCTTTTGCCTTGCATAGATGAATTGGTTGATCAACCGCAATGAACAAAGTGCATTTTAGAAATGGACCTAAGATCTGAAAATCACCAGTTATGAGTGTTAGTGAAGAGTGTCCCGAGGGAAAACTTCTGAACTCGATACAGATGCTACGAGTCCGTAGTGATATCCTTCGGATAGGACCAATACGCCCATAATATTCATGAACTTAATGAATAGGGTACGCCAATCTTACCCAGATCAGTTCGTCATTGTCCTTATAAATGACTTACTTATCTACTCTCGTGGTGAGAAGGAAATCATCAAGAACATCTAAAACGAACCATGGAAACATTACGATCAAAGAAGCTTTACGCGAAGTTCTCTAAATACGAGTTTTAGATTCGAAGTGTCGAAATTGCTAAGACACATTATTAGTAATGTGGGAATTCTTGAGGACCCTTCCAAAGGTCAAAACCGTTGAGAATTCGTCAGAACCAAAGATGCTTACAAAATTCGCCAAATTCTAGATCTCGCTGACCTACTGTCGGGAGTTCATTCAGAACTCCTCGCGAATTACAAAATCTCTTATGACTTTGACTCAGCAGGGAGTGGCCCTGGACTGGGAAGAGAAGCAAGAAAAAGAAACCTTGGAACTCCAAGTGAGAGACCAAATCCTTTTGGAAGTCTCACTCTGGGAATGGCTTGATACGTTTCGGAAAGCGTGGAGAGCTAAATCCAAGATAGTTAGGACCTCCGAGATTCTTACTAGAATCGACCCTGTAACTCATAAACCCAACCTACACTGCGGAATCAGTAGCGTACATTTCTCCCTTCACTTCTCGAACTTGAAAACATAACTTTTCCGACAGTACTCTCGATATCCCACTCGACAAGATCGAGATCAATGGGAGCCTCACCATCCTTGAAGAACCGTAGTGACCATGGACCGAGAGGTCATGCGAACTAATCAGAGCCGCTTCCCATTAGTAAAGGGTCGCTGGAATGCCAACCAAGGACCCAAATTCACTTAGGAGCGCGAGAAGCAATCAATTAGGATGTATCCCCACTTCTTGTCTCGATTATTCATGCCTACTCCTTTACCTAAAACCTAATTTCGAGACGAAATTCCTTCTAACGGGGGGATGATGTGACAACCCAAAATTTCTATTCTGTACAACCCTTCACTTCATCAGAAGTCGGAACAGTTTCTGCTAATTTTCAAAGCTTTTGGAATAAGTTTGAGTATTTTAGGATTAGCACTTTAGGAGATATCAGCACTACTAGAAACACAGCCTTTTACGACGCTCATTGTGTGTCGTAAAAGGCTCAGACGACACGCAAATGTGCGTCAAGGAAGGCCCTGTCATAAAGAGAGACGACGCGCTTTTGCACGTCGTCTATAGACGACGCGCGTTTACAACACGCAATGTGTATCAAAGAAGGCCCTATCATAAAGGAAGACGACACGCATTCGCGTGTCGTAACCTTACGACGCGCGTGTTAATGACACGCAATGCGTATCATTAAAACCCCTGTCAAGAAAGGCCATGTCATAAATGAAGATGACACACATTTTTGCGTATCGTAAATATAAATGTTTAAAAAATATATATTTATATATTTATTAATTTTTAAATTAAATTTGCATTTAATGTCTCATAATAGAAATAAAATACCATATACAAAAAATACAATCCATTGCATAAAATTTAATGTCATACAGTTCTATTTCTTACAATATATAAATTTTCATTCATCTAATCTACTCTTTGTTTCATACTAACAATTGAAATGAAGAATGCAACACTTGCATTTGCAGCATCTTATCTCTTTCAGCTTGAGCTTTCTTTTCCTCTTCTAACTCCAGAGCTATTCGCTTTCATCAACCCTGTAAACACAACACAAAATCACTTGTCATTTTCGTTCTACTTTTAAAATTAATTCTTATTAGGACATTATACTTTTAAACCTACCAATCTAGCAAAATTTTCAAAGAATATAATTTATAATTTTTTTTATGGAAGGTACATTGCTATTTCTTGAATACAAGATGTTACAAACTGTGAAAGAGAAACCCTCTGTCCACTTCCACCATGAAAAGTGGAAAACCAATCATTATATAGCATAGACATCTGGGTTTACAAGAATGAAGTTAATAATGATTAGATTGATAAATTAAGGAGTTAAAAATGAAGAAATATGATGTAATAAGATGAGAAAAATTATTAGGTAACAGGTTAAGAAGATATAAATGCACCATCATCATCCTTGTTGTGTTGGACATAGAATAGGATGCATACCAACCAGCTTGATGAACAACAAATCAAAATAAATAAATTAACTCATTTCTCATTTTCTAATATATCTTAATGTTAAATATAGCATTTACCTAGCACAACTTGATGAAGATCATAAACATCCTTTCTGATAAAGTAATATATGAGTAATTATATATTTGTTCTAAGAAATGAACACAATACTTTCTAATTTCAACTTAACATTGATATGGCATAGAAACTTACATTCTCTTGTACCAAATAATTTCTTATTTACTCGTAGTAGCAGTAACTATATTTTTATTTTTTTAAATCCTCACAAGTATTTATAATCATAATCTATGAATATAACTCTAACCTGTAAGAAGAAGGCTTTTCCCTGGTACTATCTCGCAAGTCAGCTTTCTGGCTAATAAATTATGTGTTGGCGTGATAATATCAACCTCCAAAAGAGAGATAACATCCTCAGATTCCTCATTGGAATTTGATGAAGCACCAGCATTTTCATCTGCAATTTCTATCAGATTATTAGTAAATAAGGAACAACCTAAAAGATTAGATAAAACACTAACCAGATTGTGCAGCATCAAGAAGTTCCTCAAGTTCAAAAATCCAATTAACACCACCAGATAGTTCAATGAACTTTCTATGCAGCTCCAAGATGTCACCAAAGGCCAAGAAGCTTTGAGATACAACTGATGCCAAAAACCGCAATGCATGTGCAAGCTCACCTGCTAACAAAAAAAACCCACTCACATCCAAACAGAAAAAATAAAAGCCTACATTTCATTAGGTTTAGGTAATCGATTCACAACTACTAAACTATTTCCAATTGTGGTAAACAAATGTCATGATGAATCGGAATTGAGAATGTGAATTGACCTTGAGTGGAAATCAATGAACGATCAGCTTTGTGCTCTATAGCATATAACAAGCGCAATCCCGAGGTAACATTGTGGGGTAGTTGTTTGGTGACAAAGTCATCCAGTACTCCAAATAACCATTTCTTCCTCAGAAGTATTTTAGCATGAGCAAGAAGCTCATTAAATCTTGACTCAATCATCTGTCAGACAAACCATATTCAAGTATTATTATTATTAATATTATATTCCAAAATTCTCCTTTGTCGAAGGAAATATAAAAAAGAAGGAGGAGAGGAGTTACGGCTTTCTCTCGAGCACCACCTCCAAAGGAAGCAACAGATTCAGCATGTATATGCAACCTCTCGTGCATGGAGTCAAATACCACCTGGATCAGCATTTCCAGCAATCTGCAGGGCATTTAAGTTGGCAAGGTCTCAATTTGTTGGTGTCACAGCAAGAATTAAACAGTTGGTAGCCTTAATGTATGACATTATCATTGTTCTGATGCCAGAGTTATGTCAAGAACATTAGGAGAGAAAATCTTTAAACGAATTTGCTTGTCAGAAACCAAATATAAGCCTGTGATGATTTTAAAATATTTAAATTAGTCTAATTTCCTATAGTTATTTAAAAGGGGAGAGTGAACAGTTAGACATATGTTTAATTTTGGTCCCTGTAATACATGATTAGTAAGTAACTTAATCTAGTAAGCTATATCAGTTTTCTTTTTGACTTTTTGACTTAATGCAGAAAGAACATAGGAAACAGAAACATACAGATGCTATGATGTTGACACCACTTTCTTCATCTGGATCTTCCGTTAACTTTTTAATGGAGGGAATTTCCTCAAGAATATGAATATAAGTGGCCCCACCACCAGACACAATACCCTCATCCATGGCTACATACGTGGCATTTTTTGCATCCTCAATTCTTAGCTTTCGATCTTCTAATTCCATCTCAGTGTGGGCCCTTACCTATAACCAAAATTCTTTTGGTGGTGTTTCCATTATCAAGGTCAGTTTATTTATTAATTATGACTAAAATAATGTATATAGAATGAATTCATTCACCGAGCTTTTTAGAAGGATAAGAACTATCTGTTTCAGAAAGATCTTTCTTTATTTGTGAAATTCTTGCTTTGATTTAAGCTTTCGTGGATGGATCAGCTACAATAGTTGTGTAATTACTTGCTATAGTTACTTTTTGTGTAATTCCAAGTTGATCAGAGGTTGCATATTCTAGAGATAAACCCAAATCTCCAGATAAAAAATCAGCTCCTATTTTAACATGATAAATGTCAGCAGAAAAGTGGCATAAAACAAGTCTTCAAAATGTAATATATTAAATATTTAAATTGTTACAGAATTACCTGTCATGAGGGAAATATCTTGAAGTAAAGCTTTCTTTTGTTCCCAAAACCAGGACATTTCACAATAGCAACCCTAAGTAAACCTTGATTTTTGTTAACAATTAGGGTTTCAAGAACTGAGATTGAGATATCTTCAACAAAAATGAGCAAAGGGACACTTAATTGAGTACACTTTTCTAGAATGGGACAATTTCTTTCACAGATGATATCTATTGATATGTTACTAGGTCTTTAGCATTTTCAAATTCCACAGACAAATTGTTCTCATTTGTGACAAAATGAGGAGACATGTATCCTTTGTCGATCTGTAGGGAAAGTATTCCTGAATAGACATTAAAATACGAAAATGAAAAAGATAAAAAGACTGTATGAATAAAATATCACAAGATGTATTTCACTTGATACCTTCATTCCTTCTTCAACAATCACAGAAGTTTCACTTGATGAAGAAGATTCAATAAAAATTATTCCATCATGACCGATTTTATCAATGGCTTCAGCAATTAAGTTTCCACTAAATTCATCATTTCCAGCAGAGATGGAAGCTATTGTTGTGAACAGGATGAAAAGAATCTTTAGAGTTTAGAGAATCTCATGGAAGAAAACACTAAAAAGAAATGAAATTTACCTTTTATATCATCTCTTTTGCTGACTGGAATCATTTTCTTTTTCAAAACTTTGATCAATTCTTTGAGACAAACAATTTTGACCAATAAGAACATTGACCACAAATCAAATATATCTTACAGTAAATAGGGGAAGAAAAGAAGCATACTAGCAAAGAATAAGACCATGACCGAGTCGAGAAGTACTAACCATCGTAGATGTCGAGGAGTGTTGGAGGGATTACGGAGAATTAGATAAGGTCGGCGGAGAAGGAACCTTAACAGATGAAGAGGGTGTCAGTGGGATTACGAAGAAGCAGCTCCATCGAGCTCACCCTAGCACCGACTTTGAATGGAGAATGCGAAATCTTGCTTGGAAGGCGACGGGTTACCGACGTACCATAGCGGAATGAAGACAGGGTACTTCCACGATGAAGAAGTCGGCGTTTCAGTTCATCCATCGTTATTATTGAGTTGTGAGAGAGATTACACTAAGAAATTGAAAGAGGATGCGATGGAATGATGAGTGGGAATAAACCCTAAAAATGGATCGACAAATTTCCCCCTGAAATTTGGTTTGCCACGCTGCTCTCATTATCTCCGGATGAGCCGCCAGTGAGAACCCCGACACCAAAGGACTCTCCGACATCTTCTCTACCACTACTCATCTCGACGTTGACGATGGCAGAGAGTCGGCGATGGTGGAGGGTCGACGACCATGAAAGAGCACATAGCGGTGGCTGGAGTACGAGGGGAGTAGTTGGCGGTCGATGTAGGGAGGGGAAAGATGTATCGTCGATTGTGGGGATAAAGAACAGTGCGTCAAAAAATGCTTAGGGCCAAGAGGGAAAGAGGGAAGGGAAAGCGGGCTTTTCTAATTTTTGGGTTTTATTTTCCCGCTTGCGACTAAACAACCCGCGTTTCATTAAAAAATATAAAACATGTCTAGATGACGCACATTTTATAATAAGCACCCTCCGTGTTTTTTTTCTGACACTAATTTTAGGGTACGCAAAAATGCGCATCGGAAATCCTTAAAATTTTTAAAGAGCTGACATTATTTTTAGGTTACCCACTTTTGCGTATCATAAATTACGCGTCGTAAAAGGTTGTTTTTCTAGTAGTGCAGGAGAGAGGATGCCATAGGATTTATGGTACATCATTAAAGTTCCAAAAACTCCAAGAGTTTAGAGTTTATGGCCCAAATGGCATTTGAACCGTAAACTCCATGGGGTATATATATGGCCCTTAGCCATTTTCACTTCATTTCTTCCTTTTTCAACTAGACAAAACCCGATTTCTCTCCGAAGGATCTTCAATATTTCGACCCAAATTGTAAGTACTTCTACCCTAGAGCGTTTTAAAGCTTATTACATGTCTAGATATCATTGAAATTACCCGAGAATCAAAAGAAAAAGGAGTTTACGGACCAAGATCTTCCTAGGTCGTAAACCCTGAATTGGGTGTCAAAGTGTTCCTAACTCCTTCCTTATGGGTTTACTGTTTGGGTGTCAAAGTGTTCCTAACTCCTTCCCTTGTTGGGTGTAGCTAATATAAAACACCAAACCCCCCCCCCCCTTGAATATGGGTTTACTGTTTGGGGATCTCCCAAAACCGTAAACTCCCCCAAAGTGTGTTTTGATGCCCTAAACACCTTATTAAGCCTTGCATAGTAGCCTAGAACCTTACACCATTGATCTAAGGACCTCTATTCATGAAATGGTACATCTTACCATGAGTTTACGGCCGTAAACTCATGGGATAGTGGCCCCTAGACCGTAAACACAAGTTAGGGTCATTTTAGGACCATAAACTCACCCAAACACTTGTTTAAGGTTTGGAGCACTTAACCATGTAAGACTTTATAGTTTTAAGCCTATTTTGGTGACCAATTAAGAGCTTACGGCCAGGAGTAAACTCCCCTAGGCCGTAAACTCCAAAAAACATGGTCCATTGACTATAAACTCACGTATAAGGCCTTGCACTCCTTTATCGCAACCCAATGGCCTCTTAACTCTTTGACCAAAGTGTTTTCCTCACATTAGGATGTTTATACATGTTAAATTAATGTTATTATCACAAATTTTATATATACATATAACTTCATATGTTATTAGGATCATTGTGTGTGTCTATTTCTTCACTTGACACCAAGCACTTGCCCGACACTTCCATCTGATCCGCTCACTACAGGTGAGTTCATACCCCTTAATTAACCTTTTGAATGTTTTTAAATGTTTATAAATGCTTTATGGGGGGATACAAGTTGAATAATGCTAATTGTTCTATCAATCGCATGTGATTAATAACTAGCATGCAAATGGATTTACTATACGTTAACTGTTTTACCAAACCGATTTCTTCAAATGACTTTCTTAAATGTTTTTACATGTTTAAAACTCTTTATCAAACTGTCTTACATACTGAATGTTTCTTTTCAAAATTTGTTACAATTTTGTTTCAATCAAAGGTTTCCTCATACTTTAAATTGTTCTTATCAAATAAACTGCTTTTCAAATCGTTTTACAAACTGACACCAAGTCATCCTTTCTTAGTTACTAAACTTTTCAACAGTTTTACAAAACTTCTTTTATACTTTTATATTGTAAAAATGCATGCCTATGTATGTATAGTTACATAAGTAATGTTTAAAGGACTTAGGAAGGCTAGCTCGCTTTATCTCCTTTTCCTTGTTGGGATGTGGCTTTAGGGCATCGATTATCCGTCCGAAGGTCATCTAAATATTAGTTATATATTATGTATACATATGTCGACATAAAAGTTCTATCAGTCAGTTCAATACCCCTTGGTAGCAAGGGTATACGTTTATGTTCATAAGTACAAGTCATATTACTAGTAAACTACAATAGGCGTAGTTTAGGAAGTTACTAATACTATTACTAAAACAAAGAATCATACAATGAGTCAGTTAATTCATGAGTCTATACATGCTAGATAGAGAGAGAACACACAATACATCTAGTACACACAGTACATTACTATACATGCTAGATAGAGACAGAACACACAATACAACTTGTACACACAGTACTTTACTATACATGCTAGTTAGAGAGAGAACACACAATACAACTCATACACATAGTTCATTACAATACAGGCTAGATAGAGAAAGAACACATAATATAGCTAGCACATACATTACATATACATTAATACAGTTATGTGAGCCACTAAGCGGGGCATGGCACTACCTGCCATGACCGTTTTTGTATCTAGAATCTCCTTAATTGGGGAGCGTATGAGTTTGCATATAGATCTGTACATGATTGACTAGCCTACACCTTGATACTCGCTACAGTGGGACTTGCAAGTCTACAGGTGCCAACTGTAATTTCTTACGGCGTCTCACATCATCGTTTTACTATTGAGTCGGTAGCAGGGTACAAGCCTATCACATGGTACTTTAAATTACAATTGGTTTAAGGTAGTTAGTACAACAGTAGTTACTTATGACAATACTACAGTACTATAATATTTTTTCCATTACATTCACTTTTTGAACATTCACACGATGCACGTAATGTAAAAGCTATATTTTTGGTTAATGATAGTCAGATTTGAGAAAATACACACTCTTACAAGAGTCACACACATATACTAGATGACTTGGTTGAAGGCTACTGTTAGTAGGAAACATAGGGTTTTCTAGGAGGTTCAAAACTTTTACATACTTACACTTCACATACTTACAAATACTTTCTTACAAATTAAGATATTAAAATACTTATGATCTCACCAGCTTTAAAGCTGATACTCTCTTTCAAAATAACTTGTATCCTCAGGTCAACAGTAGACATGTACCGATGCAAGGTTTAGAGAAGATGGAGCTCATTCAAGACTCATCTTTCATTTTGATTTATACTTTAGTGTCTATTAATCATGTCAAAACACTTGTATTAAAATTATATTATTAATGCAATGGATGATGTTGATGCTTGTTTACTACTATTCATTGTTGCGATATTGTACATGACGTCCTCCGCCCCATAAAGTTTCCATCATTCCTGGTTTTGGGGTGTGACAAAGAATTATATGTCAAGTGCGAATTGATACCCACAATCTGAGGCAAGTCTTCCTTTGCAGTAGCCGTAGGTCAGAGGCACAAAGTATGGCCCACTTGTTATGTTATAACATGGACTTGTTTTTGTGATAATTGTCATTCATGTTTGTATTTGTATGATGACTCGATGATTACTGCTATGATATTATGTGGTAGAATTAGGGGTAATATAGACCCAATATCATGTTGAATAGACCGATATGGGTAGGCCAGCACCCATATATGCTTGGCAGTATCCGATTGGGATAGACTGAAGGGGTAGGCCATCACCTAGATATGCTTGGCAGTATCTGGTTGAAATAGACCAAAGGCGCATGATATCATAAAGAAATGCTTGGAACTATGTTTGTGTAGTAGGTTTGATTTTTATGTGGTATGTTGTGGGAATTCAGTAAGATTTGTGCTTACAGTTTTCAGTTTCTGTGTCATGTACTTCTAGTTCAAAGAGGAAGGGCCTGACTAGATCGCACCGAATCACTCCATATTTTTCCGCACTTAGTGATTTTGGGATTTGTACTCTGATATTATGATAAAAATGTGACTCCTTTATATACTTTGATATCAGTTTCTTATGAATGGAATGAATTCAAAAACAAAATTTTTATATGTATTTTTGGAATGTTACAAGTTGGTATCAGAGCCTTGGTTTGAGGGATTCAGGCATACTCTCTGGTCTTCCTGGACTTAAATCGAGGGTTTGGTATGTTTTTCACTAAAAGAAACATTTAAATCTAAGGATTTTAGTAAAAAAACAAGGGGTGTGATGTATGCAATTGGCCGAGCTCAAGTAAGTTTTTCCAAAATACCCATACAAGTTAAATGTTTTATGCAATGATATAAGAATCACATGCTAGACTAGGGGCTATGTATTTGCTTAGGATTGCATGGTACAATGTTAGGAGAGATGCCTTTATTTGCCTATCAGTATGAGCATTTAGACTTGCATGATAGTAACAAATCAGTTACTTGTTAATATGGCTTGTATAGGGTATGTTCTAAGTTGACTTTCCTAATGCTTGAATGATGCACGCTTTATGCTTTAGGAAGTTATGTTGGTACTAAGTAACTAATGGATGAATGCATCGGGTTACATGTTATTGCGATTGAATAACATTAAAAGGATAGGATTAACTCTAATGCACAGCTCATGTTTTAGTCCAACCGCTGTGGAACCTATCATTCGAAGAACTATCTAGTACTGGTAGTGTGTGATTATATTCATACAGTAGTTAGGTAGTACATGTATAAGTTCCTTCCTTGGTTAATAGTAGAGATGGGTGAGGAAGGGAGTCTTAGGGAGTCCCTATGAGATGATGGTGCTTAGAACGCCTTAAAGTTAAGATTGTATTAGTTGGAAAGAGCGACTTGGAGGAGCTA